TTACTAACTTTGTTACTGAAATTTTGTAGAACACGGAAATTGTTCATATGACAGGCTGTCACTGTCAGATGGCGTTATATCAAATCATACCTGTGGCTTTTCTTCATTCAATAGTAGTACGCTGATCTTTGAAAACGGCAATGTTCGTGTGAACTTCACTTCAGATTTTACTTTTGCTCGATATGGATTTCTCTTGACATATATGGTCATAGATTCAACAAGTAAGATATTTCTTCAATGCACTTATCAATAAAACCTGCGCTGTTGGAAACAAGAGAGGATTTTGAGTTGATCAGCGGTATGTTTAGGTTCTTCAAAATTAGTCAATCAGAACTCGCAAAACGCAAAATGTAAGAAAAAAGAGTGAAAACAATTTGAGTCCATTTTTGAGTTACGATTTTGAGCAAATAAATATGAAAAACAAAGATTCGTGTAAAGCAGCACATTTCCCTCAAATTCCTCGGGGGGAGGAAATTTTGAATTTATTCGGAATCGAAATTATCGGCCATTGAACAACAACCATTTTACACTCAGTAGTAGCATTAGTTATGTGCTTGATGTACAAGAGTTATCTAAATTTTTATACCTTGTATAAGCAAATTTTTACATACTGTATAACTATTATCTTAATGAGCTTAAAGAAGTTAGTATATGACACCTGTCTTCTTGTTCTTGTGAGAAATGTTTCGTGTAATCATCTTGCAACCAAAAGTCTCTTCATATTTCTAAATGACAGTGATAAATCAGCGAAAAATTCATCAGAATCGTCCTCATTTTTGATTTTAGTCGAAAATTGTACAGTTTTGGCTGCTTTTCAAATGTGGGTATTTTATGGCTAACGTTCTGCCTTGCCAAAGAGAAAACTTGAGATGTTAACCGACTGCTGATTGTACTTGTAGCCAACGATTTACTCTTCAAAGCGAAACTATTGCTTGTTGACAGTACTTCTTTGATTTGAGTTATTCAGTCTCTTCGTTCAAGTATTAATCACCTTTATTTTGCTGATTTTCATCATCTTCATCTACGGTTGAATGTAACTCTGCCTTGCTCAAGACGGCTTTAAAAAATTAATAGATTTTCACGAATACTCGATTTTCGTTGTTCAACAGCGAAAAATTCTGTCCTATATCGAAGTTAAAAAAGCCCCCCGTGAAATTTGAAGAAAAAATGTTGCTTTACATGAATCGTTGGTTTTTATATTTAAAAACTTAAAAACGTACCTCACCAAAATGTGGGGATTTAGGATTTTTCGAAGATGAGTCATGGAACGCCGGAGGCGTTTCGCACCTGGGAGGGTATCCGAGGCAATCTCTCCTGATTTTCGAAGTCTTAGTTTTAGAGCAATACAAACTTTTTTGCGGGCATATTTTTGCGTAAACAGAACACATTTTGCTTATGGTTTTTTCAAAAATAAACGGAAGTGAACAATACTTGAATGTTTTGCCAAATATTTAGGCTCATTATCATGCAAAATATAAGCCTCATTAGCATGCTTAGGAACGTAAAATTTACTTTACAATAATGCTAATCTAAAAAAGATATAGTCTTTGAAAATTTCTACTAAGTTGTCCGCACAAACCATCCCCCAGACACCCCCATTGTCACCTCTATATAACGAGTTAAGTTAGAAATGAGGTACTACATGGGACAGTTCATAGATGTAGAAAAGCTCAGACTTCAAACCATTCAAGTTTGTGTAACCCTTTACCCATCTCCACTTACAGAGACAGAAAATTTACCTTTCGAGAAAAAACTTAAAATATTTTTCTGTCAAAGGGTAGACAAAGATTATCAGAGTGAAAATTTGCAATTAAGAACAGCTTGATGTTGTTGATGTTTATTAGGCATTTCACTAGAATATTATCTTCTTTAAGTTTAGGCAAGTTGTGCTATGTAGCAATTACCAGTAGCATTGTATTTTGCCAATACAAACAGAATGAAATGGTGTAACCAACATGCTTTTAATCATATAATTACATGATTAATAAAATTGGTTCATGTGTCATGCTTACTGGCCATGATAAATATCTTTTCATATAATCAAAACTAGTTTAAATGTAAATCTGAAATAGTTTAGTTAAGACATTATAATATATGATCATTAGAAAAATTACCTAGTGATCATGAAAAATACTTTACTGTTTTGCCAAATTTCAAGATTTATCTGAATACCTAGGAACACATTTTTACTTCATAGAAAATGCTTTTCATACATCAATAGCCCTTAGGAGTTTCTGGCAAACAATTTGATATAAGCCGTAGGTAAACAAACCTTGACAACTCTACATGAGGTGTTCAGTTACTAAAGGGGACAATATGTGACATGGGGCAACATTTCATGTATGTGAATTACTCGGGTTTAATACCATTCTACTCAAATTGTCAAAATAAAAAGCTTCATGGTGTTAAGAATATTTAGGTAATGAATGAAAACATCCATTGATTGATTTGGATATATTTATTATAGTTAACAACAACAGCAAAAGGCAGTACGAACAGAACAGAGTAAAGCAACATCACATGACAATAGTTGATCATTATAGTATGACTTATATGAAGTTCTTCAACACTCCCACTTAATGATCATACTATAAAAAGTTTTTAACTAATCCAATTAATGACTCCCAACATATCTCGAAAGTTCTCAAAAGTTTTTCTTGGTAGAGCTTTTGTCATAATATCTGCCAACATATTATCTGTCGAACAGTATACCACAGACATCACATCACGATTGACTTGTTCACGGACAAAATGAAAAGCTATGTCCACATGTTTGGTTCGATTATGGAATTTAGGATTTTTTGTAAGTTCTATTGCTCCCTGATTGTCTTCGAAAACTATAGATGGTTCATCTTGCTGTGTTCCAATGTTTGAAAGCAATCTTCTCAACCAAACAATTTCTTGGCTTGCTAAACTTAAGGCTATGTACTCGGCTTCAGTGGTTGATCTGGATACTGAGGTCTGTCTCTTACTTCTCCAACTGACAGTATTATTTTGGATTTGAAACACATATCCGGAAGCTGATCGTCTGGTCTCAATATCACCTCCCCAGTCTGCATCAGAATATCCGGATAACACAGGATCTGAACTAGTAGCCGTGAATAACAAACCATAATCCAACGTTCCTTTAAATACCGGAGGATTCTCTTTACACCTTGCCAATGTACTACGCTCGGTCGAGACATAAACTTCGACAAAATTCCGACTGCCGATGAAATATCGGGACGAGTAGCAGTAGCTGCATAGGTCAGACAACCAATTGCCATTTGATATCTTTGAGTCTCCACTGGTGTCTCATCTTTTGACAATGACTCAAATTTCATTCCAGTCTCCATCGGTGTTGTGACAGGTTTGCATTGGTCCATCCCAAATCTCTTAAGTATCCCTTCCAGATATTTTGGCTGACTAATGGATAGTGTTCTTGTCTTGCGGTTTCGTTCAATCACCATTCCAAGAACATATTTCACTTCTCCTAAGTCGTCCACTTTAAATCTTTCAGCAATCATATCTTTTCCTTTTTAGCATCTCTGAATTATTTGAAAACCATAGCATGTCGTCAACATAAATAGCCATTATCACGAAGTTAATCTTTTCCTTTTTTTGTTTTACTGACTTAACATAGACGCATGGATCTGCAGTTGATTTCTTGTATCCGTTTGATGTAAGATAGGTGTCAATAGAGGTATTCCAGCACCTAGCTGCCTGCTTGAGGCCATAAATACTTTTCCTAAGCTTACATACGAACTCAGGTCTATCTTTGTCAACGTAACCGCTAGGTTGTTTCATGTATATTTCATCTTGCAATTCTCCTTGCAAGAACGCTGTATGGACATCCATTTGATGAATCTCCCAATTATAGATATTAGCGACAGTCAACAGTGATCTTATAGTTGTGTTACGAACTACAGGTGAGAATACTTCTTGGTAGTCTATCCCTTCGGATTGAGAATATCCCTGAGCAACCAAACGAGCTTTAAATCTGTTGACAGTTCCATCAGAATTGTGCTTCACCTTGAACACCCAACGACTTCCCACAATATTCTTGTTGTTTGGTGGAGGAACGAGTTCCCATGTTTCATTATTGATTAAAGAGTCATACTCAGAATCAGTTGCCTTTTTCCACTGATTTGCATGTTCTCCAACCAGGATAATATTCATTTTTTCAGTTAATTTTTTTTTTGAAGACATGAATAAGAGCGAGTATGGGTGTATTTTTAATGTTGAATCAAGTATTTCTGTCTTAAGGGCCCATTTTATTTGACGATTGTGTCGAAGCTCAAGAAAATTCTTGTCCAAGGTAAATATATTAGAATATAGCAAATTTAATTATATCATTCAGTATTGCGCTGATATTTACGTAGACATCACCTTTATCTTTTATATTGTGATTTATATTATGTATTATCCTACTTTAGATGGTTTGTTTAGTTGAAATATTACTCTCAAAATTACTTTGCTAGCGATGAAAAGAAATACTACATCAAATCACGAAACGATTTGGGTTATGCTGAAACGGAATGTCATAGAGGTGGTAGCCCAAAACTTGGGTGTACTGGTATCGGATGGACATTTCTTGGAAACATAAGTGGAAGCTCTTCATCAGTAAGTCATGATACTCTTTTATACATTACGTTTTTTATTTTAAGTATAGTCCTCTACTTGAGCATGACTTTCATTATGTTTAAACAGACTTTTCTCTTTGACATATGTTATAAATACATATTCCTTAAATTATTGCAACTTTGAACTGTAGTTTAAATTTCTTGACTGACAAATAGCTTTTTTTTAATATTGTGTTGTCTTTCATCTTAAATATAATAAACTAATGAAATAATCTTCTTTGGCAGCAAAATTTTAATGCTCTACACCAAGTATTAAGAGGATTAAGATGCTAAAACATGTGAATACAGTTGTATCCCTTGATTTATAGGGCTCAACAAACTACGAGTCGAAAATTTGGCAATCAAAAGAAGACGAACAATCAAACTTTAATTCTCAGTTTTGGAGTGCCAATGTCTCTACTATTTGCTTGCAGACATACTATGGCCATATGCAAATTTCAGTCTCAGCACTTTCCACTCGTAGTTTATTTTTTGGTAAAAAACTCTTGAACATTTCTTCATCATATTTTTTAAATTCTTTCACCAAACTGTGGATGCACACACAACAGCCAAATTTTGTTTATGGATGTTACGAAGCTGGATTCAACGTTGGAGATTTAAATTTCATTCAGGCTCGTTTTGGTATTGTTTCCGTGAACAGACCAGGTATTCATTTATCTTAAATGTTGCAAAAGATTGTTTTACAAGCAACATCTACATGCCAATGTTTTAAAATGAATTTTGTTTTTCAATTTTGCGTCTCCTTGAGTTTAAAATGCTCAACAAAATATTTTGCAGGATTGATCGCAAGATTGATAAACATGATTTTTGAAATATCAGTCTCCACTATTCGAATAACTGAAAATTTCCGTTTTGTCTGTTTTAGGATGCAATTATACTATTCCTCAAGCCATTGGTGTAGGAATAAAAATACCTGGGAGGAAGAATATCAGTGTCAATGGTGTGGTTAGCAATGTAATGTCACTTAATTTTTCCTCTTACCTAGACTTTAGCTTTTATGTTCGTTCGCGTACTCCAGTAATTTAACTTTTAATTCTTTTACTTTTTATTCTGCTAATATGCAATCAATTTTATAATATTCTAAGATTGCTAAACTGGTCATTTATATATGTTAAATTTCTTCGATCATTAAATTTACAAGCACAACACAACCCGTTGATTGCAAAAAAAAGTTTTGAAACATCTTTTACAACGGAGGGCACTAAAGTAAAAAAAGCACTGAAATTAAGTGTATCACTTTTATATCAATGGTTAATGAATACTGTTTGATTTAATTTGAAAATATAGTAGATTGTTCGAACTACAATTAAAAGTAAACGGTTATCTTACAATAAACGCAGACATCACCAATAATGTTGCATTTTTTATGACATGCGAGAGTATAATAGTTAATATAACGTCAGATTATCAATATAGCTTTGTCATGCTGACTTATAGTAATTACACAATAACATTCTAATTTTAGTTACATTGTTTCCTAGATTGTACATAGCAACTACGTCATTTTTTAAAAAAGGTCATTACGTCATATTTTATATCGCCCTAATTGACTAATACTAAATAAGTTTACGCATTGGCAAAGTCGTATTGCGAATAGCGTTAGGAACATGTTGTTTAATTTTATCATCGCATCGCACTCGCAGTTAAATTTATAAATAACAGAACTTGTAGAGAAAGCAGGAAGGACATCTTTGTATCGGTGGCAGTATTGTCCATTTTGAAAATATGCATATTAACTTGGCCGTGTGAAAACATCATTTAACGCACGTTCAAAATTATTTTCGGAAATCGGGTTTACCCAAGGTAGCTTTAAATAAACTGGATATTTTTGTGGTCAGATGAGGTTGTTACTGTTCTCAAAGATACAAAAGAGTTTTAACGAGCAGTCTACCTGAAGAGCCATCAAATAAGAAAATACTTTTTATTTCATTTAGATCACTATCCAAGTCTTTGTTTGGTGATAATCTTCGCGTTAGATTAACTAAACATTTGACTTTTTGCAATTTCTTTTTGTTTGGGACTTAACAAATCAAATCTAGTATAAAGACAAGTAAAAGAGGTTTGTGATAAATGCTTTCAAAGAACTGCTTATCTTCCTTTTGAATAAATATGTCTAAAGACGATAGCTTTTTATTTTTTTCATACTCACAAGTAAACTTGAGGGAAGGATGAAGTGTTTTAAGTGATCTTAAAAACTGGAAAATGTATCATCAACAAAACGTTTGAATCATTGAGGTACTTTATTCGAGCATGAATCATTGAAGAACTTTGTCTGATAATAACACAAAAATATATTTCCAAGTACCGAACCGAGCAGAGAACCCATCGACACACCATCAATTTGTTTGAATTATATCTCCAAAACTGAATTCACGTAGGTAGGACATTCCAACGGTTGGGTCAAAGAATTAAACAACATGCTCCTAACACTATTTGCAATAATACTTTGCCAATGCGTTAACGACCAGTATAGGAAGTGAGGACACCATCACGAAATATAATGTGACTCAGCAATTGGCGCACACCTTCTTTCAAACAAATCCTGTGCTTATGCATACACAGATGCCGAATTTCATATCCTACACAAACACAAGTCTGCTTTTTCTCTGAAGACAATGGAAGCAGTCATTATCAAGCTTCGGTCTTTAGTCGACAGAAACAGTATGTATCATTTTCAAATTGGCTTTATTTTGATGATGACTCATGAATTATTGTCTGTGACTACTATTTTGTAACATTGATTAACTCGCAACCATTAATTTGCATTTATCAAACAAGCAACTTGACCTCTTTGTCTAAAAATCACACAGTCGACATTTGCATAACAAAGGTTTTTATGGTGAATCATGCAATGTCGTTCAAGTATTAATATTGACTTTTTTCGATTGATAAGATGGCAATCGAAAAGCCAAATACCACATTGACATTCAAAGTCCATAAAGAGGAATTTTTATCAGTATTTGCAAATCTATGTAACAAACAAGCCTGATTGTTAACAGCATGTGTCAATGTGATTAATTTCTTTAGTCCTTAACGAAACTTTTTCTTGTCAATTAAAACTTTTCATACATAGCTTAATGTCACTACCTTAACCAACTGACGCTTTTTAATTCATTCAGCAACCTCAAATTAACAAAAAAAGGGATATTAAATAACTGAATAAAAGCCAAGCTTTTCTAATGTTTTAGAAACGCATTTTGATCAGAACAAGACGAAATATCGTTTTTAAATATGATCAAGTTTTACAGTAAAAATTTTCCTTCGCTCCAAAAAAAGCCATTACCTACACTCCCAGACATAAATTGAGCAGTGAAAAAAATTTTCTTCATGGAATTAAAGATATTGTGATTTTTTGCATTTATAATTATGTGAATGATTTCGTATTGCATCCTCTCCTGACAATGTTTGTCATAATGATTTATTACATGAGCTTGAAATGTTATGTGAGCATCCGTTTTATGAAGATGGTCGACAACAAAGAGAGCTCCAACTTCGAAATGTGCATGATTAATATGGTGGTTGCTTAATTCATTTACTACAAATTTAGAGTTGCTTGATAAGTCGTATTTCGAGATTAGTGAGATTACCACATTGACATTCATAATCCATGGCGCTGAATTTTTATCAATCATTACAGAACTATGTATTGAAGTAAACCTGATTAAAATCTTAACAGCATACGTCTCGTAGGTGTTTTGCATTAACAAAAAGTTTTTCTTCTCAATTAAAAATTTTTGCGAGAGATGGAATATCTTGACCTTACACAACTCACGCTTATTAATTCATTCAGCGTTATTAAAAATTAAAATGAAAGTGATATTCGATAACTGGTTAAAAGCCAAGTTTTTGTTAATGTTTTAGTAAAGCATTTCTATGGGAACAACACCCAATATTGTTTTTAAATATGATCAAGTTTCACAGTTCTGCAATATTTTTTCATTAGCTACAAAATAAATCATTAATGACACTCCCAGACATAACATTGAGCAGTGAAAATACCTTTCTCTATAACAACAAAGACATCTTGAGTTTTTCATTTTTTATATGGTGAAGAACGCATTATTAATATGCATTCTCTCTTGACAATGTCGTCGTAATTCTTTAATAACAGGAAATTAAAGTCTTATGAGGATATCCGTTTTATGAAAATGTTTGACAAACAAGAATGGGGTATTTAACTACAAACATTTCTTTATAATTTATTATGTTAATTCATCAGTGTGTTGCACAATATTAAAGAGGTTCGTAGTAAATTATCTTGATAATTTTGTTCAAGTTTTCGTCTGAAAATATGGCATACTCATTCTTCTTTTCAATACTGGTTGTTGTCATTTTATTCTCCAACATTTGCAGGTAAAATTTAGACTTCTACTAAATGCATTGATATTTTAAACAGCTAAAATATATCCTCATACCTTGCTTTCACTTTGTTCTGCTGATAAATCAATTCTTTTTACGTGGAAGAATAACATTAGTATGTACGAAAATTTATTTCCTACGCACGAAAATATTGGTATAAATAGAAGTAAAATTAGAGACTAAGAGTAGAGTTGTTATTCGATAAGAATGTTAAGCTGTCAAGATTGTTTTGAATAGGTCGTAATTCTTTCTTAATAAAAGTTCCATAACTAAGTATCAAAATGCAGATCAATTTGCTGGACGAACTCAACAATTTCTGCGATAAAATATCTAATTACTTACCTTTGAACTTTGAACATGTTGATACATATAAGTTTTCCAATCTTGTATGTAATCTTCTACGAAACAAAACGGTGCAATTACTGCAAAATAATTGATAAAGTGTACAGCAGCTGCATAATTAACAATAAACGTGGGAAATTGTTTTAAATGTAAGAGTATTAATGCCATTGTTGTGTGTTATGAGAACTAGTTGAGGCCATTTACATGCAACAACTCATGCTAGTGATCGTCAATTATTTACCACTAATGACCTTAGTCGTCAAATCGCACTCAACGTATTTATCACATCATGAATAAGTGCTTGTTGAAATTTTACGTTGAAATGCACTGAAAATCTTACACGCTTCTGTGACATACTCAAGTCTGACAAATACTAGAGCATATTTCATATTGTATTGTACAGCATATTTCATCTTGTATTGTACAGAATATTTCATATTGTATTGTACAGAATATTTCATATTGTATTGCACGTCATAATTTTCTTCCGCTAATTTTACATCTGATTCCATTCCTCATCTAAATATTTACAGTTATATTATGCAATGAATTAGAAAATTTCTTTTAAAGAATAGCCAAAACATACGTTTGCCTTATTAACTAACTAAAAACATATTTGTGCTGGTCGGAAAAATTATAGATAAATTTATACTTCAAAGTGAAGGATCGTGGTAAACCTTTGTATTCTCATATTGTTTTTGGTAAGTGTCCAAGAACTAGTTTACATTTAGCATTGTAGTCAGCTGGCCATGCAATTAGATGGCATGAGCATTTGAAATGGAGAAAATACAAACACACATGTCGCAAAAAGTATTTTAACAATGCTGCAGTCATTGCATTTAGTCAGTGTTAATAAATGCTGCCACGCCCCGTCGTAAAAGAACACTTATCTTGACATGAGTCGACCTTGTCTTTCCGCCCGTTATATAAATGTCATGATCGATATGAGAAAACAGCTCAGGAACTTTACAGATGACCAGCAAATTTTTCTCGTGACTTAGAATGGTATGGATATCATGGTTTTGCCCCAAGACGTTCAGATGATGGGCTTTCAATTGTTGAAGTTAATGATTAAAACCACAATTTTCCAGGTGATGTGATGCAGCAATTAAGAGTTCTGTAGATCCATGTGAGCATTCTAATAATTTTGGGGCTTGACATCTATATGAGAGCTGTCGGTGTAATGTTAGTATTAACAGGAATTGAAATGGATTGAAAATAAAGAAAGAGTGCTGTACTTTATGTGATATATTCTATTCCAGCTTATAAACATTGTTATTATTGCGTTCCAGTTTTTCATTGAGTGTGAAAGGATAAAAGTTGAAAAGAGAGTATACCATAGTTTTACATTTGTGCCAATTAGATAGTTCAGGCTTCTTTAAAACCTTCTGTAATATTATTTTATATTTTGAAAGTATTATTTTGCTGGAATTTTCACAATTAAAGTTGAAAATTTAACCATTTTCATTGTTTGACCAGTAATGTTAATTTTGACATCACAAAGATAATTTTTCTCTTGTATTTTCTTTTAATTAGATATTTTTGAACATTCACGATACGAGATGCCACTGACGTGTGTAATGTGACAAAATTGCTCTGCTTTTGTGTATAATATTGTTTTAAAGATTGTACCGATGACGTAAGATCTA